TGTTTTTAAAATATCATAGGTGCTATGAGTAGTGAGTAGTGAGTCATTTTTCTGAAATTTTAACTCGAATCTAGCATCAAACCATTTCATGGTTTTCGGTTGTTGGACAGGACAGTACCCTAAATGCATCTCCAGCTCTTGGCCCGGCCTCCACATGCTGGTCCTTCACCCCTTTCACCTCATGGGAGAACTGTCTTAACACGCGTAAGGAAGACTCTTAATTACCTTGTTGAAGCATAGTAAATGGCCAAAGTCATTGGAACTGGAGATTTTGTTTCCAGAGCTGAGCCTCCGTGGGTGTGGGTGGAGGGTTGTTGGAAGGGACCCTGGACGCCGAGGGAGGTAAACAGGCTCTCTGGGCATGGGTGAGGAATGGGATGGCGTCTGCGTGGAAGGATGAATAACAGTTTTGCAAATCCTGCTGTAGCACTGTCCTGTCGCACTGTCCTCCCTTGTTCATTGATTTGCTCGAGCGGGCCCAATAACGCCTCCATCATGAGACTTGTTGTTACTGTGTTTGGCATATCTAGTACATCACAGGGAGCTTACCAGGCTTTGCGATGAGGCGAGATACTCTCGGTAGCTTGCTGGGCTCTCCGAGAGGGACGCAGGAATCGAACCCGACTCAGCCGGGCCAGCCGCGCACAAGGCAAACGCCCAACGCCCTGCTGCTGTGCTATCGCTCCAGCCCAAGTCCTGCTACTTTGATTAAAACAATTAAATAAGTAAAAGCCGAGTGCTTTCACCATGCCACCCTGGAAGCTGAGTGCTGGCCCCGAGCAGCTTCCCTGACCAGGCAGGGGGCTCCCCACGGCCAGTACTGCATTTGCACTTTCAGGAAACCTCCAGAAACACCTGTCGTAGCTGTGGGAGCCCTGACTCATGGGAGAGGCCCCCTGTCGCCTAACAGAGCACATGCACTGGACCTGGCCTTCCACGAGGAAGCCGTCACTGAGGCTTTCCAACGCAGGTCGGGGCGTTTGTGGTGAGACGGTGCCATACTCTAGCTCCGGAATGGGTTGCGCTGTCTCCCCAGCTCTTGGGTCTTGGCGCCCACCGAGGGTCCTGCTGGGTCTTTATTTTATTTTTTTAATTTTTATTAGGGCTGGAGCGATAGCACAGCGGTAGGGCGTTTGCCTTGCATGCAGCCAACATGGCCGACCCGAGTTCGATTCCTCTGCCCCTCTCGGAGAGCCCGGCAAGCTACCGAGAGTATCTCGCCCGCACGGCAGAGCCTGGCAAGCTCCCCGTGACGTATTCGATATGCCAGACACAGTAACAACAAAGTCTCCAATGGAGACGTTACTGGGCCCGCTCGAGCAAATTGATGATCAACGGGAGGGCCTTTACTTTACTTACTTTTAATTTTTATTAGTGAGACACCATGAGGTACAGTTGTAGACTTACAAATTTTTGGGTTTCAGTTATACAATGATTGAGTACCCATCCCACCACCAATGATCCCAGTAGTCCTCCCACCCCCCATCCCCCCCATCCCACCCTGCCTCTGTGGCAGGGCATTCCCTTTTGTTCTCTCTCTCTTATTGGGCGTTGTGGTTTGCAAAAGAGGCAATGGGTGGCAATCATGTTCGGTCTATAGTCTACTTTCAGCATGCTTCTCCCATCCTGGGAGGATCCTCCCGACACCCTTTACATGGTGCTCCTTTCTCTATCTGAGCTGCCTTTTCCCCTAGCATGTGTGGCTGGCCTCCAAGCCATGGAGCAAAATTCCTGGTACTAATCTCGGCCATTCTTGGGTGTTAGTCTCCTATTTTGTTACTTTGAGGCTGCCCTCGACCTCCGTGCTGCCTGGCGTCCTCTGGCCTGCCCCTCCTGCCTTCCAGAAGGCTCTGCTCGGAGCGGGCGGCGCAGGGAGTGGCGGCTGCTGCTCTGTAGGGACAGTGACGCCCCAGAAGGAAACTCGAGTCCCCCACACCCAGCGGCGCCCAGGGCCACCCGGGAGAGAACCAGTGACCCGGGGGTTCCGGGGACCAGCTGACCCCTGACCCCCTCTAAAGAGGCACGAGGAGGCCTGGGAAGCTGGTCACGTCCTTCCGGTTGTTGGGGCGACTCTAAGGCCAGACCTCAGGAGCTCCCCCAGGCTGCAGGGGCGCCTTGAGACGAGCGACAGGGAGGAGAGAGAAGGTGGCTCAGACTCTCCCTGGCCCTCGGGTCTGGGTGGGCTCTTCGGAGTCCCGGCCCACCCCATGCTGGCAACAAGCGTTTCTAGTGGCTGTCAAAGGAGAGCCCCAGGTGTGGCTGCTGTGAGCTTCGGCACGCCACCCCCAGCAGACGCGGGTGCAGAGGTCAGCAGAGGCAGCCGGAGGCCCTGCCTTGTGCTGGGGGAGGCTTGGGGTCCTGGGGTCATTCTGGGCCCCAGCCTCTCGCCTCATGGAAAGGTGATGCACAGGTGAGTCTCTCGGGACTTTCTCCACCATGTTTCTGCCCCAGTGCAGGGGGTCAGCCTTAGAAGGCATTGCTCAGGGCTGACTCCTGGCTCTGTGCTCAGGGCTCACTCCCAGTTCTGTGCTCACGGCTCACTCCTGGCTCTGTGCTTAGGGCTGATTCCCGACTCTGTGCTCGGGACTCAATCCTGACTCTTTGCTCAGGGCTGACTCCTGGCTCTGTGCTCAGGGCTCACTCCCAGCTCTGTGCTCAGGGATCACTCCCAGCTCTGTGCTCGGGGCTCACTCCTGACTCTGTGCTCAGGGCTGACTCCTGGCTCTGTGCTCAGGGCTCACTTCCAGCTCTGTGCTCAGGGATCACTCCCGGCTCTGTGCTCGGGGCTCACTCCTGGCCCTGTGCTCAGTGGCCTCTCCTAGGGGGGGAGGGAGCATGGGCTGCAGGGAGACGGATCCAGCTTGGCCACATGAAAGACCAGCGCCTTCCCCTGTGTTCTGTCATTTCAATCATGTGATTCGGGGCATGTCCCCCCCCCCCCCGCACCCCCTAGAAGGCTGTGGCCTTGTAGGCAAGGGCAGGAGACGAAGCCCGCATCCCCTCTCGGCTTTGCTCTCTCTCCCACGTGCACCACTGGGCCTGGGTTTTGCTGCAGTGCCGGGCCGAGGCGTGGGGGCAGCCTGGAGCCCCCGCTGCAGAGCAGGTGAGAGTTGGCACTGTGTCCAGCGGGCAAGGCACTCCCGTCTCTTAGTCCCCGAAGAGCCCCCGCAAGATCGGAGCAGCCCTGGGTGGTGAATCCCACCGAGCCAGGGAGGGCCGGGCCTCATCTCCACATTCAGATCCCCCATCCCGTCAGGTGGGGAGGCCCGGCCAGGCGCGGCCACTGCCTCCGTCCTGCCGGCTGGCCGTCTGCGAACTCAGACCTGGACTCCATGCGGATTCCAGCTTAAGTAGGTTCTCATTGGTCTCTCGCGGAAGAGCCAAGTCACCCCGATTCCCTCCACTGCCTCATTAGCTCGCTGATGTTGTCTGTGTGTATGTGGAGGTGGGGCGAGGGGGTGGTCATGTGTGCATGACTGTGTGTCACGTGTCTGTGAGTACAGTGAGTGCAGGTCTGGCGTGGCATGTGCCTCTGCAGCGTGGCGTGCATGTGTATGTGTGTGTTTGGGCCGTGTCTGAAGTACATGTATGTTTGTGGTACATAGAGAGTGTGACATAATCTGAGAAGTGTGTCGTGCATGTGTAGTTCTTCATAATTGGTGTTGGTAGAGAATCTCGGGGTGGGAACCATCCGATCTTTAAAGCGTCTGCTGCTCCTTCAAAACTTGATTCTCATTTGCACGTGGATGGTCTGGCCTTTCTAGACTGTAGGATCTTCCTCGCTGCCTGTTTCTGTACATGACCCCTCCTGCGTTCTTCCCTCCCCCGCCCTCCCCTGCTGCAGTCTGCAGGGCCCCAAGGACACCCGGGAAAGCCGAGCCTCTCTGTCCTCCACGCTCTGGGCACTGGGAGCTTTGCTCAGCCCTGGTCTCCGCGCTCTCTCCTTGGAGGAGGGCAGAGACCAGTGGGTCTGCTCAGCCTGTCGCCACCCACAGGGTCCTGAGTTCCGGTTTGTACGGCTTCTGTTTAAGTCAGCAATTGAAATTGCAAGGAACTTTTTTTTAATTGAATCACAGTGAGATATACAGTTACAAAGTTGTTCATGATTGGGTTGCAGACGTATGTAATGTTCCAACACCCATCCCTCCACCAGTGCATATTTCCTACCACTAGTCACAGTGTCCACAGTTTCCCTCCTGCCATCTTGCCACCAGTTTTCTCTTCTCTCTCTCTCTCTCTCTCTCTCTCTCCCTCCCTCCCTCCCTCCCTCCCTCCCTCTCTCCCTCCCCGCTTTTGGGCATTATGCTTTGCAATACAGGTTCTAAAAGGTTATCATGCATATCCCTTTATGCCTTTACGTTATGACTGTCATAGTGGTCCCTCATTTTCTATCCCAACTGACCTTGTACTCTTGCAGGAGGGTGGAGCTGGCAGTGCTCGCGAGACCCCTGCACCTCCCAAGTGTTTCCCAGCCCTCCCGGCCACTTGAGTCAATGCTCAAGCCTGAGGACAAGGTGCTGAGGAGTCAGGGGCTACCACAGCCACCTCAGTGGTCTCAGGGGCCCCCACAAAGCCCTACCCAGAGAGAGTAGAGGACCACGTGGTGCCAAGCCATGGTTGGGTGAGAGCCGGGCTCTACACGCACGCTCGTCCCTGTTCCATCTCTTTGGTTTCTTGACAGTCAAAGGTATTGTAGTGAGGAGAGGTGATTGCCAGGCATAATCCCACTATACCCCAGTGTTTGAGCGTGATGCTAGAGCAATGCACTTAGAGGCATTTGAGTATCATCGTGAAAGTTACCTTGATCAGCAGGGTCTGCCAGAAGGGTTTGGGATCATCCTCAAGATCCCTCAACCTTGTGTGGAAATCACTGGGTTGTGTGTCACTTTATCATTTATCATTTCAATCACTTCTAGCTTTGATGGGTGGGTTTGAAAAAAATGTGCAGACTACATTTCTATCGCAATGTGTGTACCAATGATGTGCTTTTCTTTCCCAAGGGCCCTTCTTGCTGGGAAGACGTCCTGGTCCCCAACCGACTGAGTGGCGAGTGCCAGTCTCCAGGCTGCCCCGGGACCAGAGCGGTGAGTGCCTGTCACATCTGTTCTTTCTGAAACAGGAAACGGTGGCCTCTGCCGGGTCTGTTAGGAAATGAGAATGGAGACAAAAAATATAAAAAGACTTCCTTCCCATATGATGGTGTTCACCAAAAGTGCTGCAAGATTCAAGAGTGTGTATGATACTCATTCCAGACCTACCCATGCTGCCGGTGCCGAAACATGCTGATTTAGACCCTTTTCAAAGTGATGTTCATGGTGTTCGTAGAATATAAAGATGAGCCAGCTCGGGGACTTGCAAAAGAAAATGACAAATAGATCAGGTTAATCATTTCCCTAGTGCTGTGATATTTTACGCCCATCTTCCTCTCATACCAGGTTGCGTTTGGCTTTCTCTCTTCCTGCCTCCTGGAGCAGCTCTCTGATAGAGCAGCGTTTGATCCTCTGCTTGGGAAGACCACTACCAGCTGCTTGTATGTCCTCTGCCCTCAACAATTTCCATTCTCTTTGCAAGCATGCGCCCTGTGTTTTCAATAGAGCTGTGTGTGTGTTTTTTTTAAACCCTGGATTCCAACACTCTTACCCCTACTTTATTTAAACACGGTGGTTTACGGAGTTGTTCCTGATGATCTGTCACAGGCATTCAATATCCAGCCCCAGTCCCACCCCCACCTGCCCGTTACCTTCCCTCCACCACTGTCCCCATGTTCCCAGCCACCCCTCCAGCCTGCCCCTGAAGCAGGCCCACCATCGTTCATTTTATATGGCTTGTTACCACTAAATGGATAATGGAATTTTCAAAAAAATTATTTCCGTAAAGGAGGTAAAGGGATGTGCATAGTAACCTTTCAGTACCTGTACTGCAAACCATAATTTCCAAAGAGAAAGAGAGAGGTGGGAGTGGGGTTGGGGGGAGAAAAAAAGTGACCGCCACAGAGGCAGGCCGGGGGTGGATGGCAGAAGGACACTGGGGAGGTTGGTGGTGGGAGATGCTCACTAGTGAAGGGATGGGTGTTGGGGTATTGTGGGACTGAGACCCAATCACAAACAATTTTGTTAAAAAAATTGTGAAAGTTGTTGTATCTTACCATGGGAACAATAGGTCCTTCTCTGTGGGTTTACTAAGTTGTTGTTGCAAGTTAAGATTTCTGTGTTAATGGGTGTTTTTAGTGGAGATTCGTTGGCATGTGTGTTACGTCCCCTCCAGTCTGATGGCAGTGTTATGAAGTTTGAAGAGGTCTAGAAAATCCAGAATATTTAACTGGGAGTGATGAGAGCTTTGGGGTGTGGGTGTTGCTACTGGGGTCAGAAGTACAGGAGGTGGCGGGGGGGAGAGGTGGTCGTCATTCATCCCGACTCCCAGAGGTCTGGAGTTTTTAGCCAGAAAAAACAATGTACCAACACTGTTTTTAAAGTAACTTTGTTGTCACCATCGACTTCAACCGTGAATGTGGAAAGGTCGGACTACAGCTGAATCTCATGAAGACAATGTTTATGAGAAACAAACTCATTCCTAATGTTCCATTCACTCTCAGTGGAATGAACATCTCCGAATGCAACAGTTTTGTGTGCCTCGGTCGAGAAGTCAACATGACGAATGACCTGGCACCTGAGTTGCGCAGGAGGAAGAGAGCAGCTTGGAACGCCTTCAAGAGCGTTAAAGAAATAGTTAAGAGGACGAAGAACCTCCAGCTCCGAGCACATCTCTTTGATTCCACTGTTCTCCCTGCATTAACATACGCCTCAGAGACCTGGGCCCTACGAAAACAGGATGAGAGCGCTATTCATGTCTCCCAAAGAGGAATCGAAAGAGCTATGCTTGAAGTATCACGTTTCACTCAAGTGAGAGAAAGAATCTGGAGTTCTGACCTTCGTCAACGATCGGGAATCAGGGATGCTATCTCGTTTGCCAACGTGTCGAAAATCAGATGGGCTGGGCATGTAATGCAATTTGGAGATGACCGCTGGACTAGAGCCATAGTTATCGACTGGATTCCATGGGACGTCAAAAGATCGCGTGGCCGCCCATGTACAAAACAGTCAGACTTCTTCATCAAGACCCTGAGTGATCGGTTCAAGGCTCTTCATGTACCTGGAGCGAGCAGACTCCATTGGGCTACACTAGCACGTGAAAGGGATGAATGGAGATGTTACTGGCACCCGCTCGAGCAAATCGATGAGTAATGGGATGTCAAAGGATCAAGTGATCATCACCGTCATACTGTAAAATTGTGATGATGTTGATGAACTTAGTTCATTATTTGTATTTTACTAAATTCCTGGCCTCAAAAATCCCCATGTTCATCACCATCCAATCTGTCTGTCTTTCCTGAGCTGTAAACCGTGTTCTGCATCTAACACACATGTTAGGTTTGGCAGCAAATATCTTCTCCAGGTAACAAAGTGTCAGTAGCCACAGGTGCGGCTCTCAGCAGGGCTCCTGACTTCCACTCTCCGCTGCAGTCTGCGGCATTATTGCAAGGAGAGCAAGGACAATCACTCTCCATCAAACACGAACAGGGGCTACGGGCAGAGTTTCATCAATGCAAATCAGGAGAAAGAAGCCCTGAAGGAAAAATAATGACGCAGATTCCCCTCACTGAGGTCAAGCTTGATCTAGCAGCGGAGGTGGCCGCTGGGATGGATTCCAGTGCCCACCTTTGTGAGGGGAGAATCCAGTGTGTGTCCAAATGTGACGGGGAGCTGTTCCAGGGTGTGTGCCGTGCCAAAGGAGCTTCAGCCGCAGCAGTGACTGCGTGAGGGAGTGGCTGTGTGGGTGCGCACCCTCCACACCTGCACGTGTGTGCTTGAGGGTCTTCGTGTCATTGGCACAGGTTTGCGAGGGTCTTTGTGAATCTTCAGTCGCTGACAACCAAGCTGCCTCACCTCGACTCTCGACCCTTCTGGGCAGGTCACGGCAGAACTGACAGTTTCTCATCTTACAAGTACTAAGCTTCAAACTCAGTTGAGATGGAAAATTTTGCCATTTACTTGTTGAATTTGGGGGGCAAGGGGATATGATGTGATGCTCCTAGCGTAGTCCTGGCTCTGTGCTCAGGGATCACTCCTGACAGTGCTGGGTGATCATATGGGGTGCTGGGGATCGAACCCAGATTGGGCACTGGCACTAACTCTCAGTTTCATATTTGTTGAATATTTAACTCACTTAAAAATCAGTTCCTGAGGGGCCAGAGATAGTACAGTGGTTCGGGCCTAGCCTGCTTCCAGCCCAGGTTCAGTTCCTGCATCTCACCATCCCCTGGCACCGCCTGGTGTGACCTGGAGGTCTCCAGCAGTGCCTAAGTGCACCTGGGTTCCTGGGCCCTGCAGGGCCTGAGTGGCACTTCAGCCTGGCACGGACCCCAAGACCCAGTTGGCCAAGAATCACTGGCAGGGCTCCCTGGACCTCCTGAACATCTCCTGGGAGACCCACCCAAAGAAAACACACCAGCTCCTGGCCTGCAGTATCTGTTCGGTTTCACTGCAGCTATGTCTGACAGCTGGCGGGTAACGATAATAAGGTAAAGGTAAAGGTAAAGGTAAAGGTAAAGGTAAAGGTAAAGGTAAAGGTAAAGGTAAAGGCCCTCCCGTTGATCATCGATTTGCTTGAGCGGGCCCAGTAACGTCTCCATTGGGGACTTTGTTGTTACTGTGTCTGGCATATCGAATACTCTCGGTAGCTTGCCGGACTCTCCGAGAGGGGCGGAGGAATCAAACTCGGGTCGGCCATGTTGGCTGCGTGCAAGGCAGACGCCCTACCCGCTGTGCTATCGCTCCAGCCCTCCCGTTGATCATCAATTTGCTCGAGCGGGCCCAGTAACATCTCCATTTTGAGATTTGTTGTTACTGTGTTTGGCATATTGAATACGTCACAGGGAGCTTGCCAGGCTTTGCCGTGCGGGCGAGATACTCTCTGTAGCTTGCTGGGCTCTTCAAGAGGGGCAGAGGAATCAAACCAGGGTCAGCCAGGTCGGCTGCATGCAAGGCAAACACCGTACTGCTGTGCTATCATGGTGAAAATATGCCACATCAGATATCTTTGGGGTTATTTACTAAATTAGTATATATATATATACAAATATATAAACATATGTATAAACATATATATATATATATGTTTAGGGCCATGAAGGCTTACGTGACCAAAAAAGAGAGGATACAATTATTTATACATACTGTTTAAGGGCAAGATACTCTCGGTAGCTTGCAGGGCTCTCCAAGAGGGACGGAGGAATCGCACTTGGGTCAGCCATGTTGACTTCGTGCAAGGCAAACGCCCTACCGCTGTGCTATCGCTCCAGCCTGAGAGTATCTCACTCGCATGGCAGGGCCTGGCAAGCTCCCCATGACGTATTCGATATGCCAAACACAGTAACAACAAAGTTTCCAATGGAGACGTTACTGGGCCCGCTCGCAAATCGATGAACAACGGGAGGACCATGACCATGATCATGACTGTTTAAGGAGGGAGCAAAAGAAAGGTCATTTCCAGCTTTGTATGCTCCCATATCTTAGGTAAATGTTGGTTAAATAAAGGAATTTCCTGTCTGTGCCCGGGACCTGGCAGAGGTGCCCTGTGTGAGAAGCCTAATTCCTTCAACCTTTCTCTGATCGTCAAACTCTTCTCTGCCACGCATTTTGATACAAGTCCTGGCTCCTTCATTTCCCAAAGTACTGTCCATGGTGGTTGCTTTCTTAAAGAGGGGAGAAAAATCGGGAGCTTGAAAGCAGTTTATCATACTTAAATCTGCTGACTGTTTACATTTTTCACAGTATTTTGGGCATTTTGTATTAAATTCTCCTAAAAGCATTTCATTCCTTGCATTTGCAGAAAAATATCCACAAACTTCACATTCAAAAGCTCAGCCTCCCCGGTGTATTTTTAATTAATATCTATTCACTCGGAGAGAATGTGACAGGATGAGTTTTCGAGCATCCAGATCCAGGCCTGCCTTTCAAAATTCTGGCTGTGGCCACCCCGTAGACAGAGAACCTCGGGTTTCACACACACACTGCTGTTCTCACGG